GTGTGTGTGTGTGTGTGTGTGTGTGCGTGTTTTAAATGTTTATTTATTTATTTAGAGGGAAATAGAGTGAGAGCAGGGGAGGGTCAGAGAGAGAGGGAGAGAGAATCCCAAACAGCCTCCATGCTGTCAGCAAGGAGCTCGACTCAGGGCTCGATCTCACGAACCATGAGATTATGGCCTGAGTTGAGAGATCAAGAGTCAGACAACTAACCCACTGAGCCACCCAGTCACCAAGAGTTGTGTGGTTTTATGAGACTTTAAAAAGTAAAATTGAGAAACAAAATTATTTTCTCTAGATTGTTGTTTTTCTGAACTTCTTATAACTGTTTCTTATGTGGATGGTTTACCTTCAACTTTCTGTTCCTTCTGAAGAGGGGAAAGGTTACCAGAAGACCACTTATGATAGGAAATGTGCAGTTGTCCAGTTAAGCCTTCTGTTAGGTGAAATCTTATTACACACTTTTGAGGTAGGATATACTTTTGAGGGGGGGATTTTTTTTCCTAAGTAAACTGCCTGTATTTAAAGAGGTGAATTAGATTAATAATGCTGATGAATTTCTTTTAGTAATTCTTTTTTAAACATAACTTCTGAGGAAATGTTTTGCCTATGGTTTCTAAGTGGAGCGTGTAAGTAAGATCATAAGTACCCCCTGAATTTCTTTGTCCTTTTCTTTCTGAGTTCGAGTAAAGTGCTGCCCATACTAATGACTTCAGTGGATATTGTTGGGGAAGGGTGAGGAGTTTGATTTTGATTGCTTACTCTTATCTTCTTGGGAGGAGAGAAGCAGGGATAGTGTTGGAAAGTGTGAAGGGGGAGCGCCATCCCCGGTAGTGTGACCCTGTAGTGCTCCCTCTCTCTGCCCAGCCTGATTTCTGAGTGGAACTCGCAAAGGAATTACAGGCGATCAGAGAAAAGATGATTCAGCTACCATAGGATTAATAGAGAAGGCCAAAACCCTTAGAATTCTCAGAAATATTGGTATTTGTACCAGATGTCCTGGAATGGATACTGAAGTCCTTGCTCCCATGTTGAACTGTGCTGATGGTGTTTGCCTGCCATGTGTTTCCTTGAATGTCTTATGTTAACTACAAGTATTCCTCTGGAGAGTTTCTCTACAATGGAACGATTAGCTTTTACCTGCTGGGCTCTACTTCCTCAGTACAGCCCTTCCTCTCTTCCTGAACAGAAGGGAGGGGAGAGGGAGCTGGACCTAGAGAGGGTGTCCACGGGCTCCTGGGCGCACCTGAGGAAACCAGACATTCTCCTCATCCTCAAAGTTCCCAGCCCACAGAGAACCCACAGGAAGTAAAATAACATGCAACTTGAACAGTGTACTCTTCTTTATGCCCTTGAAAGCTGACCGTGGTCCTTCCTACCCAACGAAAACAAATGTCATCTTGGTGGGGTGGGCAAGGAATACTTCAGACAGTTGAAATTGCTATTTTAAGAACTGTGAAGAGGGAGTTTCTCATGTACTTATGTTGTGCTATCTTTTCTCTCTTTTTTTTTTTTCTTTTAATCTGCTTTTGCCCTGAAGCTACTCCATTCGCCATTCCATAAGTATGCCTGCTATGAGGTAATGTGTGTCAATTACTTTATATAGTATCAATGCAAAATGTATGAAGTGTGACTTTATTGATATGTACTTTGTGGAGTCTTTCCCCCCTCTCAATATGAAAGGAAATCCCTTGACCTCCTGTATTCTCTTTTCTGATGGCCTTCAGGAGAAAAGGCTGAGGGTATACAGAAGGAGGGTATAATGGGCTTCTGCTTTTGACCACACTGGCTTAAATCCAGCCTCTTCTCATTTGTGTAACCTGAGACAAGTCACTTAACCTTCTCAACTTCCATTCTCTTATCTGTTCATTGGGAGAAATAAGACCCACTGCACATGTTGTTGTGTGACACAAACCAAGTAACCTGTGTAAAGCACATTCTTAGCACTGGCCTGGACGAACACACCTGCAAAGGCGGAAGGACATTCTTTATTTCAGCAGAATTAAATGCAAGCCTGGGAGACAGTTTATTTATTTATTTTTTTTTTAATTTTTTTTTTTCAACGTTTATTTATTTTTGGGACAGAGAGAGACAGAGCATGAACGGGGGCAGAGAGAGAGGGAGACACAGAATGTGAAACAGGCTCCAGGCTCTGAGCTATCAGCCCAGAGCCTGATGCAGGGCTCGAACTCACGGACCGCGAGATCGTGACCTGGCTGAAGTCGGACGCTTAACCGACTGCGCCACCCAGGCGCCCCTGGGAGACAGTTTAAATGAAAGGAATAGGAGACCAGAGGGCTATGGTTGTAGAGAGGATTTTAACAGGATTTTTTAAGGTAAATACTAAGGTGAGGTGTCTGTTGAATAATAAAATAATAAGTCATTAAAATTACTAACTGGATGGAAACCTCCGAGAAAAACATTCCCCACTTTGAGTTTGCATGGCTTAATTAGATAAAAGCACACTAATAGTAATAGGGCATGGAAGAATGAATGTCAGACTGGGGGTCAGAAGATGCAGATTGTAGCCCACTTCTGCCATAAATGAACTTGGCAGCCCTGGGAAAGTCACCTCAGTGATAGCAGTTTCTTCATATTTAAAGGAAGAGGCTAAAACCAGATTAGTGCTTCCCCCACGGTGCTTGCTGTGGGAGGGCTGCCGTGGGCTAGGCTGGCACGGTGGGGGGGTGGGTTGTGGGAGATCAGGCCTCCAGGACCCTCCCCCACTACAGTCTGAACTATCCCCATGCTCCCTGCTTTATAGTGTATATTCATACCAAATCTGCATAGTTTGAGACCACCGAAGCCAAATTCTTTTGGGGTCATTTGTAGCTGTATATGACCTGATTAAATCTGAGGAAATAGCTTCTCCCTGTTCTCTAGCACACATCCTAGTGTAATTTAATTACAGGAATGTCTGTTTTATTATCCTGATGATGTTTCTTCCACACTGGGGTTGTATAGTTACTTGAGAAATTCAGCCGCAGTATTTGATTTCCCTAATTTGGTGGTAAATAGAAAGCATAGATTCAAGATTGCCTAGTCTATCTTTGAATGACTTGCTCCCTGTGGCATAAAAACACTCAAATTGAGTAGCACATCCTGCAGCCCTGAGCTCCTTTACATGTCCAATTCTAAGTGTAGGTGTCCAAAGAAGGGCTTGCCAAAAATTAACATGGTTTTGCTCTATGAACCCATCTAGTGGCTTATGTAGTCCTCATGCAGATGTAGTCTTATTGGCTTATGCAGATGTAGTTCTCATGATCTTGCCTGAAATTAACTTAAAAAAAATTTTTACTCATCTAACATGTACCCATGAGGCATTAGGCTGAATTGTCTGACCACCGCAGGCCTGTTAACTGATCAGTGATAGGCAGGCATGTAAGCAGGCTTGCCCAAATAAAACCCACAGTGGAAGTAAAGTGCCAGTGAATGTATACTCTTGAGTCATTCAGATATAAATTTGTTAATATTTCATAATGAAACAGCAATATTATGGAGGATTACCCAAGAATTTGACTTATACTTGCATTATAGATAAGATGTGAGATCATAAGGCCCTGTAAACTCACTGTTCTTAATTCATACAGTATGAATGCAGATGCATTTCTGACCATCTGGAGTGTCACAGTTTCCGGAGATAATCTCTAACAAAGCCAAATGCACTCCAAAAACATATTATGTACATTAGTTTCCTCTTGATAGTATTAGAGCCATGCTTCACTCCACACCATACAAAGAAGCCCATATATTATAGCCATTCTCCCTTATAAAATTCCTCTAGGCCATTCCTTTTATTTCCGTTCTTTTGCACTCAAGACAGAATAACGGGCAGCTTATTAAAGTTAGTATCAATGATGACAGTCCTTGTGGCTGAGTGCTTACATGGATACAAGAATTCAGATACATTTTTAGTTCCTTCTTAGTTCCTGTTTCTTTAGTTAGGGATATCATTTTCAATGGTCATGGTGTCATTAAATCATGATGTCATGTGGCCAAATCCAATATAGGAAACCAAAAAGCACCAAATGAAGTATCTAACACTTAAAGTAACAAGATGGTGTATATAGATTATTTAACACAATGAATGAGTCACAAATAAAATGTCAATAACTGAAAAGATTCTGTTTGGTAAGAGAACAAAAAGTATATCCTCTTTATGAGGAAAAACAGTGAAAGCATTGACGTTCAGAAACACCACTTCATGAAAATTGACGAAGTGATTACCTTTTGAGGCATGGAAAAGAAAAATTTATGAGCTTTTTTTTTTCCTGGAGCTATTTCTGTCTTCTCTCACATTTACTGAAATAAATAACTTTAAATTCCAGGGGAGACAACTCTAACACAACATTCTTCAGATAGACTTTCCATTGCTTACCAAAAAAAAAAAAAAAAAAAAAAAAAAAAAAAAAAAAAAAAGCTGGAAAAAGGAGTACTGTGCTAGAAACAATTAATTAGTAAATGACAAATTAAGCTATCACTCCTTTGACTCATTGGAAATGATTTCCGGTGCCCCTTGAAATTATTACAGTTGTGTCATTAACAAAATGCTGTACTACTTATTCTACAGTTGATTATCTGAATATTTTATCTAGACAATGTCCATGTCAGGACATGGCTGTGGTGCAGAGATGATGTTTACCAATAAGAACAGAAAGCCACGGTTTCTGCAACCGGCACAGTTGCTAAGACAGCGAGTCTTTGGGGCTGACCTCTCTTCTTTTTTTGTTATTTTAGGAATTCTCCTACTTTCAAATCATTTGAGGAGAGGGTTGAGACAACTGTCACAAGCCTTAAGGTACAGATGAAGTGAATTTTGTGTCGTTGGGTCCGTGAATCAGGACAGCATTAGTCACTGCTATGGTTAGTTCCGAAGGCAGGGCCGCCAGCATTTGGCGCAGCCAGGAAGGCAAACTTGCACAGAGTCCATCTTTTTCTTTCCATATGAATCTATCAATAAAACCAGTACTGAACGGTGTTGCTGTGCCCTCACAGAGTTGTTCATGTAAGCCGTTCAGGGGTGATTACTCGTTGGAAGTGAACTGGGATTTGTGTTCACATCTTGAACTAAGATTAGAACTAAGATTACTAAATTAGAACTTAGTGGTACCCCTCAAAAACAGGTATGTGAGAGAGGATTGTGGATAGGATAAAGGATATGTGAATTCTGGATTTAGAATGCAAGTGGAAGGTCAGTAACAACTCAGAGCCCCTTCAGTTTGCACACGGGCTAGCAATAACGAACTTGACTCCACGTGTTATGCTGCCTTCCACCTCCTGTCAGACACCTAGACTTGTTTCCTCCATTCACACACTGAGCACAGCACAGCAGGATTATCATGGAGGGAAAATAAAGCTGAGTCACAAAATGCATAACTTTGTAATAATGCATTTGATTTCCAGGTTTAAACTGAAAATATGTCTGTTTCATGGGAGGGGCTAAAAATTTCATTTGAATATATTGTTTGAGCATAAGTAGGTTAGTCTACAGAGGAAGAAAGCACAAATAAAATCAATCTAGGCTTAAAAGATAGAGAACTTTCAAAACAGGAAAAATCATTGAAACTACTAAGATTGTTTATTTAAACAATGACTTAAATACATCTTGACATTATTATCACTATTTTGTAGACCATCCATTTCTGTATTTCCCTAGCTGGGAAAATGAAGGATGCAGATGATCTTTAACCAGATCAAAAGCAGGTATATGCACATGCTGATTATCCAGCTGCCTCTGAATTCTCTGCCACCATGTGCTGCCTGATAAGCCTGTGAGGCTGGAAGGTCTTCCTCCTATAGGATCTCGAAGAGTCTTTCCTCTTAGGGAAGGATCTTCCACACAGTCTTCTACTTCTACTTTATTTAGCCTGTGATTAGATGTTTATGACCCAAGAATGAGATTGTTACTCAGCATTTACCAGCAGTTTGTAGTTGTGTAATTTCACTACCCCGCTTGTCAACATCATTGCTTATTGAGTGTATAGGGACCCGTAGGAGCCATTACAATTGCCCCCATGGGTAGGGAAAACTTTTGATAAGGAGGGTCAGTGTGGTTCCTTGAACATTTCTCTTGCTAAGATATCAAGTTTCAGAACAAAAGGTTCAGAAAATCCTAGGAGTTAATTTCTCTGCATTTGGTTCTCAGCCTCAGACAATCGAAGGGAGATGGATTCTGTTACTTGTTAGATAAGTTCTGACACAGGAGAAGTTGTACTTTTTAGGTTTTCTTTAGAAGAAGGAGATGTGAAGAAGCAAAAGAAGAGTAAAGAACAACCTATTTCCATTTGCTTTTAGGAAACTCTGGTAAGCTCGCAGCTCACATATCATTTGTTTGGTCCACACTCCGAGCTTCTCACTTTTCTCACTTCATGGGGATGGAAAGTGGAGAGCCTGCCTCCACCTTCAGACAAGCACAGAACTAACTCAGCCGACTAGATACTAGCCTGTGTCAAGACTTTCTTAAAGTGGATTCTGTGTCTGCATGATTGTCCCCGGGTTTAACAAGACTCACATGCCACCCACTTCCTATGTCACAGTCAATGCCTACTTCCTCTTTTTCTGCCCACCCAGGCAATGGAGAATAAGCAGCTAATAATTGTGCTTTGTGTAAAACTTCCCACTCATATTCAGTAATTGCAAATTGCTCATTCTTTTTTTCCTCCAGACTAAATAATACAGGTTTAACCCTTCTTTATCTAGTTTCTTTGCTGTATAGTTTACTTTTGTGTTCTAGATTTTCTTCAAAACTTCTGTAAGTTTCTTCAGTTATGGATCATGAGGCTGTTTCAGCTGACTCACAAATCAGTAAGGGTGAATCAGTAAGGGCATTCCTTGCAGGTTTATAGTCTGGAGTTCCATTCACACACACTGCTTTAGGCTTGATTTGTAAAACACCACACGAAAGGAGTCATGTTCATGTTTGTGTTCTGTTAGAAATGATGTTCTGCTGTGAAGAGAGGTCCATTCTTGCATCTTCCAGCACAATCTGTCACACACCAGGTGGCATTTATATCCAATTGATTGTTCTTCCCTTTTTTTTTTACCAAGTTCTGTAGATAGTTTGATTTTCCATGAACATTTTCCTAATGCCTCATAATTATGTAAAATGTAGTCCTTTTTGCCTACATCATTGATGGCATTACTTGATGACATATCAGCTGATCTCACCTGTACACTTTGTATTTCATCTAAAACAAACAAGCAAGCAGACCAAAACCCAGCTCCTGTGAAATCATATTTGTTATATTCTGCCATGTTCCAGTGAATAAGCACATCCCTTCCAACCATTCTAATCACGTAGCCTTCCAATCATTCTTCGAACCATGTCAACCACACCATATTTTTAGCACGCCTCTTTTTGATGAATACATTGCATGGCCTGATTTAAAACCTTAAAAAAAAAAGACAACATATACTTATTACTTCTTGGTGTCCTCTCAACCAGCCATTTTATTATTAGAGATTAGGAGGCCCAACACCATAATTCAAATAGAATTGTATGCAAACAGCAATCATAGTTTTGGGGACAAAGTGACAAATGCTTGGATTAAGAGTCCAGAAGACGTTTATTGTTCACATCTTTGCTGAAGCAACCCCTCACCTAAAGTATTGCTGTGTGCACTCATTCAACCCACATGGTTAGGACACCCCTTTATTCCACTCAACCCACATGATTAGAAAACCCCTTTATTTCATTCCCCTTTTTGCCAAATTTGCTTTATTTCAAAATGATTCCCTCCTTTATTTTTCTATTTTGATTTGAGAATATCAAGAAGAGAGGAGAGGAGAGGAGAGGAGAATGCAACAAAACCCAACAGAAAATATCAGTACTTGGTATTCACCTGATTCAAAACTGTGTGTGACTTCTGTTGCAAAACTGAATACAAATACAATAAAGAGGAGAATGGGAACTATTAAGAGAGTAGATTACTCTCGTTTCTCTCTGGAAAGAAATAAACATAGTGAAAAAGTACCAAGTTGAAAGAACGCCTGCTTCTTCCCAGTGCTGAGATGACACAGAGTGGGGGAGGAATCCATGCTCAGTGCCAGAGGTCTGCAAATGAAGGCCTGTGGGCCAGATCCAGCTGGTTGCCTATTTTTGAATGGCCTGTAAGCTAAGAATGGTTTTTATCTTTCTTAATGGTTGAAAACAATCAAAGGAAGAATGCTATTTTGTGATGTGTTAAAATTACATGAAATTCACATTTCAGTGTCCATACATACAGTTTTCTGGGAAAGCAGCCATGCTCATTCATTTATGTATTGTTTTTGGCTGCTTTGTACAATGGTTGATTTGAGTATTTGTGACAGAGACGATGTGATTCCTAAGCTTAAAATATTTATTATCTGTCACTTTCTGGAATGAGTTTTCTGACCCCGAGCGTGGTGGTAAATTCAACTTAGGAACTGAATTTAAAGAGGCAGAGAGGGATTTTAGTGACAATTGGAGAAAAGTGTGTGCTTGTTCTGCAATGATTAAACAGCTTTTAAAAGCTGGTTAAGTTTTTTAAAGGGCAGACCAGGCAGGAAGCGGATACATCCCCCAGTGTGGCTTATGTTCCTGTGAGTGAGTGATCACTTTGGTGGCAGTGAGGAGTAGTCAGCATTTTGGGAAAAGCAACATTTTCTATTCTGTACCTTTCTTTTCTTAACGTGTTTTTCCATATTGTTGATAGTTAAAGGAAACCAACGTGACCATCAATAAGGCTTGCATTAAGCATTAAATATTCTTTCAAAGGACTTTTTATGAGGAATTTTTCAAAATACTTTAACCATATTTCTTATAAATTGATTTCTTCCCGATTCTATTCTTATTACCAGTAACAAGTACATGAAAAGGGAGCCTCCTAAACCATCATAACTTTGCATTTCAAGGGATATTTCTCCTATAAGGGCAACTGCCTAGAAAGATGTGAAGGGGCCAGAACTTAAGATTTGAGTCCTGTCTACCTCTCAGAGCAGAGACCAGAAAGCATGTTCAATGAAGCCGCTTTTCAAAACACATTTGTCAGGAATCCAGATCGCCTTGCTAAATCCCAGTAGAAAGCCTCAACTGAAGTCACTTAAAGATGTTCATACATTTTTTTAATTGAGGGAATTTATCTAAAATCCGGTTACATTTTGATTACATCTGTTCTCAGGGTGAATGTGTAGACAGTGTAAATCCACAGATCTGGATATGCTCCTGAAGGGATTGAGATTCTTAGATGTAGACGGGATAAAGAGGGCACTGCTAAAATTGTACAAAATTTTGGAGTTTTGGATCCTATCCCAGAACCCAAGTATAAATGGCATTCTAGCACTCTTAAAGGAAATTACTCTACACCCTTTACGTCCCTTCGCAAGAAAAAAAATATATTTCTGAGCTTGAGAGTAATCCGTCTTACAGGAACACTGCAGACCCGATGAACTAACCGCACGCTTGCGTCTCTGCCCATTTCAGACGAAAGTAGGCGGGGCGAACCACGGCGGAGGCAGCTTTGAAGAGGTGCTCAGCTCCACGGCGCACGCCAGCGCGCAGAGCTCGGGGGGCGGGCCCCGGCGGGCCGAGGAGGAGGAGCTGCAGTGCTAGGGCCGCCCCCTGCAGCCGCCGCCGAGCCCCGCCCCCGCCCAGCGCGCCCTCGGATGCGGCGACCAAACACCCACTGCGAAAAACCCAGGCCTTGACCTGTTCTTCGAATGGCCCCACCGCGGAGTTTCATAAAATGATTTCCATTTTGTATGTGTGCTAATGATGAACCACTTGACCATCACACTTAAGTATTCGTAGATTGTCATAATTTAAAATATCCCCACTTCAGCAGGTACACAATTGGCCATACCTTTGTCTTTGTGTAATTCAACGTGTATTTCCCGTAGCTATTAATGACCTGCTTTGGTTTTTGCTTGGACTTAGGATGTGCATGTTTTTGAAGGCTGAGGGTGAGCACCCCCTTTCAGTTCAGTCACATGGGCGGGATGGAGCTCTTTCTGAGAAGTCTGCAGCAACGGGATGGACTCACTGCAAGTTTCATCAAACTGCTTGTGATCGCCCTCACTTGCATCAATTATGTATGTTTATTTTAAGCAATTAAAATCGATTTTAATGATGACTTTGAATTCTTAATTTCTTTAAGTTTTCAGGCTAGTACAAACTTTAAAAGGTGGTAGCTATGAATCTGCAGATGCTATTTTAAATCAACTTCTGCTAATTTGGTGTACATAAGAGGGTGTGTAGGTAATTACCCAGCGACCCTACCAATTCTAAAATTCTCTCTAATCTACATAGAGTAGGTTTTTTTGTTTTGTTTTGTTTTTTGTTTGTTTTTTTACATAGAGTAGTATTTAACTCAGGTAAAGGAGATCTGAAAAGGGAGTAGCTAGAAACTGGAAGAAATAGTTCTTCAACCCCTTCCATTTTGCAAATTGCGCACATGAATGAAAAAAAGCATTGTATTAATACAATCGGATTTCTGCAGGAATTTTTACCTTCCACATCATATGCTTCTCTTTCCTTCTAAATGGGAACATACATTTGTTACTAAGTAGACACACATGCTACAGATGCAATTTTTAAGTGAACACAGAATTGACCTACTAAGAAAATTCACAATTTAATATATATATATATATTATCCATGCAATATATATTATATAATATTTGTTAGTGTTTATTCATTTTTAAATTTACTATTAGAGAGAAGTGGATATATGTGACATAGGGAAATAAAGCCAGTCTGAAAAATCCTATTCAAATGAATGGGGCAGGACAATGCATGCAGCCAACTGAAAATCAAGCTGCTTCAAAGCCATATAATCTCTGAGGCTTGGAATATTAGCAGAGGTAAGTATGGGGCTATAAATTTGAACCAGAGTGGACAAATGTGGACAAGCCCTGCCGGTAGGGTCATTGGCATTTTCCCTAATTTTAAGCTTCCAGCATGTTGGTTGAAACTAAACCCTGTCCAGCTGGCTTGTGACTTGCTCACCCACTGCTGCATGTGGGTATCAGTCTTCCTGTGCTCAATCTGCAGTTGCCTGGTGTGTTTGAAATGGTCACCTTTTATAAACTCACTTCTCGACCATACTCCCTTTGACCGCATTGAGCACACTGCACTCACTGTATTAGAAAAAACAAGAGTTATGGTGCATAAACAAATATCTTCATTCACCAACTAATTTCTGCACACACAGGTCTCAGCCTTAAAATCTGAAAACCGTATTAAAAGTGGATAGAAAAACAATCAAGAAAATTAGTGTTAATGTCTTGAAGCTTCAAATATATTTTAGCTGCTTCTTTTAAACCATTCTTCAAAACTTTGGATTTCACCCATTTTATAAAAACTATATTCATGTCATGTCTACTAATTGAAAGGTTTTCTTTGATTATTATTCACTCTGATCTGGGAGTGATATAAGAGACAATGACACGAGTATCATTTTGTGATGTGTGAATAAGTCACATCACTCCAACTGAAATAATCAAACCAGTTGTTGGTAGGTGGGTAGTCTTAGCATAGAGGTTTCATTTCCTAATCACTCAAGAGCTGCCTGTTTCTGCCTCACTTTGCACGTGCAAGGTCATCCCGACTTGACTGGCCCTGGAGTTTCCCTATTATGTTCACATGCGGTAAAGTGTTTCCACAAGTGCTAAAAGGTATTCACACACGATGGACGTCATCTTTTACTAAAAAATCAAAATGACTTCAGGTCAACACCATGTATACAAAGTTATAGTACAACAAAAAAATTCTCAATAACCTGGAATTCCAATATGAGTTGTGGTTACAAAATAAACTGGCTCTTCAAAAAAGTATGCAGTTCTATAAACTAACCATTTGCCACTTTTTAAAATGCTGTTGCTTGATGGAAAATATTCATGAATTTACTGTGCAAATTTATCTTACAACTCACATCTCATAAAGACTATGACCATTGGTAGGTAATGTCAGCAAAGCAATCTGCATCTTACTCTAAATTATACATTTTCTTATAACGCTGTTCTCAAACTATAGAAAGCAGAGCTGCATGCTTTATTATGGAACGTCTTAATAGGCCACACCATTCATGGTGGTCAATGTGAAGAAAACACTGGAAGCCTAGACTGCTGCTCTGTCACTGTTCATTGTTCCAAAAGTATCTGACAGCTTGAAATTTGTAGAACCTCACCACAAAACGGTGCATAAACTTGTGCACTTATTATCAAGTTGGGAGTGTGGATGGGTGTGGGAAAGGAAGACGGTGGGAAGATGAAAAAGTGATTTAAACATGAGATGTAATAAGACTGCTTCAAACATGGTGTTCAGAGAACTTCAGACTATCATATGTGGCAAAATCTTGTGTGTGTGTGTGTGTGTGTGTGTGTGTGTGTTTTAAGTTTATTTTTTGAGAGAGAAAGCACAAGCAGGGGAGGGGCAGAGAGAGGGAAAGAGAGGATGGCAAGCAGGCTCCACACTGTCAGCACGGAGCCCAACGTGGGGCTCAAACACACGAACTGTGAGATCAAGACCTGAGCCGAAATCAAGAGCCAGTTGCTTGACCAACTGTGCCACCCAGGTGCCCCTCTTATGGTTACTTTTAATAATATCTAAGAATGGTAAAAAGTCTTTACATGTCTTTTAGCTCATACCATAAAGAGTAGGTATCAAGGCAATCCAAAAATAACATAATCAATCATAAATCTCCCCCCCCAGAAATCATCCCAATCTCACTTTGAGTATGAAGACTGGCAAATTACTCAGGTAGAAATGCTGGGTACAGAGGATGCTCTTCCACAAGGCACTTTATCAGCCATTCATCTCCAAGCACACATCACCACGAGACTGAGATGAACAGGTTGGACATTCTGGTAGAACTGACAGTTTTCAAATAGAATTATGTAACAGCTGGTGAAATTCCAGTCCACAAGGGAAAAACAAAGGAACTATTTTTGAAAAAGGGCCCCCTCACCCACGCCTCCACGCCCCAGGATCTAGGTAGGGAGAGCCAGGCTGAGAAGAGCCCTGTCTGTCTTCCCCTGCAGCCCTGCCTTTCCACCCTGTCCTCCTTTTGAGTGGGGTAGTCTCTCTTCCTAATTACAAGGAGGTAACAAATTCTCTTTTGTTGAATTCAACTCAACAATAATTTTTTGGTACCACATTTTAATTATAGGTTCTGTTATTCAGAAGATCGATTCCAGGCAAGTAGCAGGTATCTTCTAAGAGAAAAAAAAAAAAAAAAAATTAAGCAATGATGCCCAAATATTTGTAGAGTTGGCTGATGAATTCAATAGCTATCTCTTCCTATTGACCTTCGTTGTGTTCTTTATTAAATGATATTTATAGCTCTCTTTTTAAGCCCGTTACTCCAGCGAGTAAGGTTTAGGACAAGTGTGAGCTTGGTAGGTAGATGGGAAACTGAAATAATGATTAGGTGACCAGTATTAAGTCTGACCCAATACAGGCTGGATTTATGAAAATTGCAGCAGGCAAAAAACATCACAAGTAAAACTTCATGACCACAGAAAATCTTCTGGTTATAAATATTTGAACTTTTATCTGTGATTATTTTATGTGCATATTTTCATGCCAGGAGAAAAAACTCCAAAATACTGATAGATGGAGTTCTGTTTTCCTACTAACCATATCTCTAGTAACGAGCAGACTTGGAATTTTCAACCATTTACCACTTTTTAAATACCGTTGCTATGATGCATCAGTATTTTGAAGCAAACCGCGTTGCTCTTTTCAACACGGAGCAGTTATATGTACACGTGTGTTGCTTCTGAAGAGATCATGCACTTTGCTTCCTGCAGACTGGGTATCCATGGATACTGCCAAGAGTTTCCAAAGAAACGCTTCCTAGAATACTCTCATCATGCCACAGTAACGGGCCTTCGTCAAACGGAAACTGACGTTTGAATTAAAGGGGCAGGCATCATTGCTTCACGCCAAAATACTGGGCAAGTTTGCACAGATGGTCTTCTTTTCCTGACCATTCCATGGTTGTGCCTCATTCAGAGGCAAGCAGGGTAGGTTACTTGTCCAATGAAAGGAAACGGGGGAAGAAACCTGGTCTGATGTGTTCCCAACATAAGGTGCAGTGCCCTCAGTAACATTCCTCTGATTACAGATTTCTTACCTGGTGATAAATGTTCTCATAATCAAGGTCTGAATATTTATAAATCAGACAGGGAAAAATACACAAAGGAAGACAAGATGGCATTTGAAACCGTATGCCTGAATTTATATCCCCAAATGACAAAAAGGATTAGGGGGAGAGGCAGAACCTGTTAGCCTGTTTACAAGTCTATGATCAGGGGCCTAAGGCAGGTCACAGTGAAATGAACAATGTGGCTCTACGGAGTGATCATCTGAACAAAGCAGCATTTCATAAATGCATTATAATACATTCCTTTTCTTGGATCCTCACCACTAAGTCAGCTGAAGAATCTGTTCTTAAAAGCAATCGTAACTTGATTTTCCATCATTGCATGAATCTGGCCTTCAGGGCTGTAGGTTATTAATTTAGAATAAAATGATTCAAAATCTCCAATAAATAGTCCAAAGTTTAAGGTTTTAAAAATTTATTTAGTTAGTTCATTAAAAAACTCCC